TTCACCCTAACAAGTTACTTAAATTTAATTCATAGCCAATTTGGCATACTCTTCTAAATATTATCAAATCATACAAACTACAAATTACTTTTCACAAAGTATAAGCTCATTCAGACAAATATCTTAACAAGCAAGCAAACTTTCTTGCTAAACAACATCTACTGTCATCACTCTTTTCATTTAACTATACAAATCTCTATAACCCTTATCATATTCTCTAATGAAAACATCATTATGTAAAACTTCTTACAAGACACTTCATTAAACAAATCTGTAAAGCTTATATCTTAGCTATATAAGCATTACAAAAACAAAACAGTAAATGGTTATACTTCAACCAAGACATCAACTAGAGATCTACTTGGCTTTATTTCAATCACAATCAAAAATCTTCATACAATATTATTAACTTTAGAATTAATTAACTAAAATCTTTTAAAACAAAAATTCTTCTTAATAAGTTGCCAACATACTCATTATATTATAATATTTATTCAAGTCAATATCCAGATACTATTTGTTTTTTTTGTAACCTACCTAATTCTTATTCTCATTGGTATACTTGCACTAATTTATCTTTATTTGATCAAATTATTCAAACCTTTACTAATCAAATTATTTCTAATAACTTGCCTGATCTTGACACTTACTATAAACATAACTTAATTAACAAAATTCTTCATCATTTAACTCTTAACTCTCTATATACATTACTTAATGCTTACTACCCCAACCTTACTCTTAAAGGACTTATTCCAAAGTTTTTTATATTAACAATTCAAAACTCTGATATCTATATATTTAAAATCGTTAATGGTTATACAATTTATGCACTGTCATGTTTAGACTACTCAATATAAATAAATGTAAATAATCTAATTTTGGTATACATATGTACTGTACATATGTTTTGCTTTGCATCAAAATATCCCAAATTCGGTTAAAGAATCATGCCAACAAAACCCATACAAATTCAAACCTATACGTACAAATTAGTGCCACCCAAATCCAAACCTAGATAAGAAGAATATACTTGCTCTTTTAGAAAACCATATAAAGTACGATTCTGAGACTGCTATATTATAATGTGTAATCCGCAATATAATAATATGCCATGTTTATTAATAGGTTGGGGACAAGTTTTATAGGCAACATACTGGTATTTTACAAAGTACTCAACATTAACATTGCAATGTAAGGTAATCTATTTTTTATTAGTAGTAGAAAATATAATATAACTTATAAATAGCCACCAAAAAATTTAAGCGAAAATATGCTTTTTGTGGGAATCGAAGGTGAAAATCGGCGAAAAGCTACTGTGCGAAAAGTTGCTATTTACGAAAGTAACCCAAATTGGCACCAAAACTGGCCAGATCCTCAACAATTCGGCAACCTTCCAGGATATGAGGTTAGAAGTTAATGGCTGACAAGAATGCCATGCTGCCATTCTGGAGTTCATGCGTAAGTAAATTTATACTAAAGCATACGCAATTTGTTATGATTCTATATGTCTGGTGAATTGATTTTAAAATTAGACCGATGGTTGCGGGAATAGCGTGGAATGAAGGTAAAGGTGCAATGAGTATCACCTTATCAGGAGTTAAGTTTATAATACTTCAATATTCATGATTGGAACAATTACATATTATTGTTATTGATGTTTGCTGATATTACAGAGATATGAAGATGATGTCGATTGGGGTATGTATACAGATCAGAATGATGTAAAGATGCTTACTTATTCAATTTTTGGACACATTTATCATATTTGCAAAATAAGAGAAGCTTTCACTTGCACCAGTTCTGGTGGCAGAAACCTAAAAGGCACCAAGAGTAATCCAAAGAATTTAAGAACTGCACCACAAGTATATTAATAACCTGATTTTTGAATGACGATAAATTCAAACCGTTATTATTGCATTTGTTTTTAATGTTTGTAGTCGAAAGATCAAGAATTAGTCGTGGGCAATCTTGCTTTAAAGATTTCTGGTGAAACAAAGAGACCTATTCATGTAATTCGGTGTGTACATTATTGTTATATTTTCTATGACTTGGTAAATAATATTATATATATACAATTTAAATAGGGGTTTCTGTTTAGACAATGAATATGCATCGGAAGAAGGATAAGTATCTGTAAATATCAATATAATTTATTGCACTGAAAATCTGGTCCAAATCATTGTATATTACATTTTGCGATCATCAGGTATAGGTATGACGGTATTTACATGGTTGAAAAATGGTGGGAAAGTATAGGAAAAAGTGAATATAAGGTGTACAAATACACTTTCAAGAGGATGGAGGGACAACTACCACTCGGGACATATTTTATACTGTTAGACAAAGATGAAGACAAAAGTGAGGACAAAAATAAGAACAAAGGTGAAGATGAAAATGGAAACGAAGATAGGAGCAAAGATGAGGATGATAATACTAAGAAAAAGTTGAAATTATAATGTATTTCGTTGAAGTTGCTATGGTACTTTTTTATGATAACTGAAAACAGCAATGTTTATACATTGATAGAATGTGCCATCACTTTATTTTTGATAATTTTTATCATTTATAACATATTTAAAGAACCTAACACACTTCGATATGATTATTGATGGGAAGCCGATAGAGAGATTGAGTATATAATACACGAGGTAAATTAAATAGTTGTTTGATCAAGTAATTTTAACAGATTTTTAACTTGATTGAAAATGTTTTAGATTTTCATGATGTGGAATCTTAATTCATACAACTATATTGAATTGTAAAGTTGATTATATGTGATCTTGATTTGATGCGATTAAATAATTTTCGTTGTAAAATAATTATTTTTGTAAAGCTTGGATAGAAAGAGCGTATAATATATATATTCTTAATTATTAAAAAAAAAAGTTTTGTAAATAAATAAAGTTTTATTCATACGTATTAAATATATATAATTATAAACATAGAACTTCAATCATATACATAGTAATAGTGATAACAATAATACTTATCATAATAAATCTGTGTATAGTAATTAGATATTTTACTAGCATTATGTGTATTGCTTTGCTGGCATTATAAGTATATATAAAAATTATGTGCATGAAAATGTGCATATTATGTGCATTGCCTATCACTAGGCTAGATACGTGTTCCTATTAAAGTTCAAGGGGTAAATTCTTATCAGATGATCTTTTGTCAACGTGTATTTAAAATTTAAATGTTATTGAGAGATTACGTGTTAATAACGTGTTATATTTTTTTTAAACACATCAGATCTTAAAAAAATCAAAATATTTACTTATCTTTAATAACTTTCATATACAACTATGAATGGTGAAACTTTTAAAGATCATCAGAAAAGATTACAATGTGAACATCAACAAAAATGTCGTCAACAAAAAAGAAACAAAATTGATAATAATAGCAATTTGGTACTTGCTTCTGGTATAGAACAAGATATAGCTGTTCCTTCAATGAATACTTTATCACAGATTCCAAGGGCACATATTTATTCATGGAGTTCACACAGTTTAGATCGTCATATGCTAGGTAGAATGGATCAAAAATGCTGTTATTATGAAGCTCTTATGTGGTTAGATGAACGAGTAAACTAATCAAAAAGAATGCCTATTTTTTCTACTTGCTGTGCAAAAGGAAAAGTTACTCTTCCACCTTTTCAAAATCTACCAACTTCTCTTAATAACCTTCTGACTGGGACAGATTCACATGCACGTTCATTTCAACACAATATCCGAATGTATAATTCTGCATTATCTTTTACATCTATAGGAGCTAATATTGATAATCAGGTTACAGAAACTAGTGATGTTTATACTTTTCGCATTTATGGAGAAGTATATCACAGGATAGATGCCTTTTCTTTTGATCCTGAAAGCCAGCCTCAATTTGCTCAGATATATATCTATGATACAGATCATGAATTACAAAATAGGATAAATATAATGCCTGGTCTTGATTCTACTATTCTTGCTGATCTTCAACAAATGTTACATGATATTAATCCATATGCTAATGTGTTTCATCAAGTTGGATATTTTTTAAATTATGATCCATTATTAGACTTAAAATTAATAATTACAAATAATAGAACTAAAGACCCTCACCATTATAATACTTCAAGTGCATCTGAAGTTGCTATTATTATGATAGGAAATAGACAAGAAGCAGAATCATTAAACAGAGATATTGTATTATATTCAAATAATGGAGAACTACAAAGAATATCAGAATTACACCCTGTATATGAACCTCTTCATTATGTTCTTATGTTTTCTAGAGGTGAAGATGGATGGCATCCTAATATTCCTATATGTAATAATTATACAAATGACCAATATGATAATATATTAGAGCCTAATGATGAAAATCAAGAAAATGAGCCAAATAAATGTGTTACAATAATGAATTATCTTTCATATAAGCTTCAAATTGGTCATCCTAATGAAGCATTAACTTTGCATTGGTATGGACGACTTTTCCAACAATGGATTGTAGATATGTATTCAGTAATGGAACAAACACGTCTTAACTATCTAAGACATAACCAAAAACAACTATATGCAGAATTATATAATGGTATTCAAGATGCTATATATGCAGGAGATAGTTCAATGAATATAGGACAATGAATTATATTATCTTCAAGTTTTACAGAAGGGCCTCACCAAATGCATAAACTATACCAAGATGCTATGGCAATTGTAAGAATAGCTGGAAAACCTGACCTGTTTATTACAGTAACTTGCAATCCAAATTGGACTGAGATTAAAAATGAACTTCTTCTAGGACAAACATCATCTGATCATTCTGATCTAATTAGTCGAGTTTTTAATATGAAACTAAAAGCACTTTTAAATAATATTCTGAAAGAGAATGTTTTTGGATCAGTAGCAGGCTATGTTTACACAATAGAATTTCAAAAGCGTGGCCTACCTCATGCTCATATTCTTATTATTCTTGCACAAGAATACAAGCCCCAAACTGTTATTAACTATGATGCAATTATATCTGCTGAAATCCCCAATAAAGATGATGATCCTGATTTGTTTAATACTGTTCAAAAGGCAATGATTCATGGACCATGTGGTTTACTTAATCCAAATGCCCTATGCATGAAGGATGGAAAATGCTCCAAGAAATATCCACGAAACTTTCAAGAAAGTACTATAGAGAATGAACATGGTTATCCTGTATATAGACATAGAAATAATAGTAGAACTGTAAAAGTAAAAGGGTTTCAATTAAATAATCGTTGGGTTGTACCCTATAACCCTTATCTTACATTTAAATACAACTGTCACATTAATGTAGAAATTTGTTCATCAATTACTGCTGTAAAATGCCTTTTTAAATATGTTTATAAGAGACCTGATCGTGCAACTATTGAAATTAGAAACAACAATACACATAATCAAACAAATGATGAAATAAGACTTTATTTAGATGCTCGCTATGTTTCAGCATCAGAAGCTTTATGGAGAATACTTCACTACCAATTACATAATGAGAAGCCTGACATTATGCAATTACATGTTCACCTTCCAGGTCAATATAGAGTATTATTCAAAGATGATGAGTCTTTGGAAGATATAGTTCAACGTTCAGCTGTAGAAAAGACAACTCTTACAGCATGGTTTCAGGCAAATACAATATATCCAGAAGCAAGAAACCTTACTTATGCCAATTTTCCATCTCAATGGACCTATAATATATGGGCAAAGAAATGGAAACTAAGGCAGCGAGAATACACTATTGGTCGTATGTATTTTGTTCATCCTGCAGCAGGTGAACGATATTATCTAAGAATGTTACTTAGTATAGTTGTTGATTCAACTTCTTTTGAAGATATTCGCACTATAAATGAAATTACTTATCATTCTTTCAGAGAAGCATGTATTGCTTTAAACCTATTACAAGAAGATGAAGAGTGGGATCAATGCTTAACAGAAGCTAAGCAGATGCAATCAGGTGCACAACTACGCAACTTATTTGCTACTTTGCTTATATTTTGTAACCCATTAAGACCTGAAACACTTTGGAAAAAGCATATTTATTCACTCTGTGATGATATACTCTTTCAAACCTATTGTAATACTGGAAATATAGCTCTTGAACTTAGAGATACTAATATACAAAATAGAGCTCTTCTTCATTTACAATCTATCTTAAATAAACATGGAAGATGTCTTGAGGAGTTTCCATATATGCCTATTCCAATTGCTAACACTAATACTGAACAAGATAACTATCTAATTAGAGAAGAGCAACAATATAATATTGAAGAACTTGCAGAAATTATTGAAAAAGAACTTCCCTGTTTAAATGTAGATCAACGAGCCATATTTGATGAAGTTATTGCAACTGTAGAAACAAAAACACCTGCTATTTTTTTTGTAGATGGTCCAGGTGAAACTGGAAAAACATTTCTCTACAAGTAAGAAAAATTTTAATGATTTATTAATATTAAATTACTTTTCTTAAATGCAAAGGAATATTTATACAATATAAGTATATAAAGATTTATAATTAGTAATCAAACCAAAGATTATATTAAAACCTCTAATTGAATATAAAATTTTCTTAAATTAAAAATATAATATAGAGTCATGCTTGCTCATGTTCATTTAAAAGGATATATAGCTCTTGCTGTAGCTTCATCGGGTATTGCTGCTCTTCTCTTATCAGGTGGTCGAACTGCTCACTCCAGGTTCAAGATACCTTTTGATATACATAAAGACTCTACATGTTCAATAGCACATGGTTCTGATCTGGCATTACTTTTGCAGAATGCACATCTTATTATCTAGGATGAAGCTCCAATGGCACATTGACATGGACCTGAAGCTGTAGATAAAACTTTAAGAGATCTTATGAAAACACTAGACCTATTATTAGAGACAAAGCCATTTGGTGGTAAAGTTGTAGTGTTTGGAGGAAACTTTCATCAAATTCTTCCTGTAGTAATAAAGGGTGGTCAAGAAGAAATTGTAGGATCTTGCTTACAACGATCAGCTTTGTGGAAGCACATTAGAGTAATGCCATTGAAAATTAACATGTGTCTCCTTTGTAATGCAAATGAACCAGATGCAGCTGAACAAAAAGAATTTGCTAATTGGCTACTTAGAGTTAGAGAAGGGCATATTCCTACTGTTGCTAGAATAGAGGGCAATATTATTCAACTTCCTAAAGATATTATTTTGCCATCCCAAGATATAAATGCTCTGATTCATTTTATTTACCCTAATCTCTCTGCAAGTTCTGATTCTCAATATTTAGTCGAACGTGCAATACTTGCTCCAAAAAATGAACATGTTAATACTATTAATGCTGCTATTATGACTCAATTTCCTGGTGAAGCTGTTGAATATCTTAGTGCTGACACAATTGAAAATCAAACAGAATCTAATCATCAATATCCAATAGAGTTCTTTAATTCTCTTATCATTGGAGGATTTCCTTCTCATAAATTAATATTAAAGCTAGGATCTCCAATTATACTGTTGCGAAATATTCACCCACCTGATGGTCTTTGTAATGGAACAAGATTGGTTTGTCATTTTTTTCAAAAGCATGTAATTGAAGCTGAGATAATTACTGGAAAACATGCTGGAATTCATGCATTCATTCCCCATATCACTTTATCACCTTCAAATATTAGTTTACCATTTACCTTTAAGCGACATCAATTTCCAGTACAACCTGCTTTTGCAATAACTATAACAAATCTTAAGAACAAACATTGAACTGGGTTGGTTTGCATCTTCTAACTTTTGTTTTCTCTCATGGACAATTGTATGTTGCTTTTTCAAGAGTTACATCTAAAAAAAATTTAAAAGTCCTTATTAATAAACAACAAGAAAAAGAAGCAAGCTATATTGATTATACATGTAATATTGTATATCCAGAAATCTTTTAATAAAGTATAATAAACTTTCTAATAAAGAAACTCTAATTCACAATATTGAAACATAATTAAAAAACCTGACTAAAA